GTGGGTGGGGCAGCCATGCGGGGGCTGGTGGAGCAGGGGAGGTTGGGCTCATGCAGAGCCCTCACACTGTGGGGCAGTGGAGATTGTCCCCCTGCCCAGCAGCAGCCGCTGAGTTGGGGCCTTTTTTCCCCCAAGTGCTGGGAGGTGGGGCATGCGGATTGCCAAGCTGGGAGAGCGGGTGGGAGATGGGCCTGGGTGATTCGGCCAGATCAAATCACCGAATCGAATCACTGTCCCCTGAATCATCTGAACCCGAAGTGAATACTAGCCGCTTCGCACAGGCCTATTAAATATCCCCATTTATGCTTATTGCGAGGCAAAATATTGAATGGGAATGTTTGTGGTGGGGTTTCTCAGGGTTCATTACTACTATTGATGCTATTCACCATTTCTATAGACTTTTTCAGATCAATTTTTTTTCATTCATGATTTGGAAGTAATGTTATATTTAATTTGGAAGTGATTTTGATCACTGATTAAATTTTTGGAGAAAATGGATTGATGGAATGAGACATTATGACAACACAAGTAATATAAACCCAAAACAGTGTTTTAGTACAGTCAAATTCCAAGCTATGCATAATGAAACTAAGTGTGTGGGCTATATAGATAAAATGATGATTGCATCCTGGAAAACAGGCTTTAAAAATAATTTAGGGGTCATAGTGAAAGCAGGTCAGCAGGAGCTCCCAGTTGGTGCTATGGCTAAAAGCTAGCATGACCTGCAGATGTATAAATGGAAGTAAGATGTGGCTTAGCTCTGTACATAGTGTTAGTGAGGTAACAGTGGAACACTGCATCCAGTTTTGCTGTCCACATTTTAAAAAGGATGTTGAAAAATTGGAGAGCATGCAGAAAAAAAGCGATACTTTTCTTGAGAGCTGGTGAAAACGTCTTAGTGAAAGATTTGAAGGTCTCAGAGAACAGAGAGACCATTTAGTGTGTTGTAAAGTTCCAAAGGTGACTTGACAAAATTATACAAATACCATCTCTGGAAGTTGAGTACCAAGTGTCTTCTGTTGGGAAAGATATAACGATCAGTAAGACATAGCAAAGGTCAGACAAATTCAAATAAAAAAGGGATATGGTCTTAACAAGGAAGGTGAATAACTATTAGAACAACCTCCCAGAGGAAGTGCTGTATTCTCTCTCTTTCTCTCTCTCTTTAATATTTTCAAATCAGGAAAACCATTTTCTGGAAGGATACACTAGCCAAGTTAATTATCCTACAGTTAGACACAAGTTATTGGGCTCAATATGGGTTTAATAGAGTGAAATTTGACCTACTGTTATACAGGAAGAAAAAGTTTATGATCCAATGGTCCCTTCTGGCCTTAAATTCTCTCAATATAAGTATGCTGGGACTCCCTGAATTTACTGGATAATATACTATATATCAGCTTTCAGTTTTGCTGTTTTCTAGAAAAGAACCTTCAGCCTCAGTAGTTTGGACAGTGGAAGTAGAGGTTAACATTTTTTTTTTTTTTAGAAAACACCATTTTGCAGTTATTCTGAAGTTTTCATGGGAATATTCTTCAATTGTGAAAGCTCTTAAACTTGTAAATGCTACTATAGAATTAATTTTCCATTTTTAGCAAGAAGAGGACAAAGTGTTGAAGTTAGTCCAGAAGAAATTCTGTGCCAGTGGACCGTATGCTGGTAAGATGAGGATTAACAGAAGTCCAGTGTGCATCATATATTATGCAACAGCAGGCAACATTTGCACTGTTTGATTACACGGGCAGGTGCCTTTTCTAGGATTTATGTGCTCTGGGATGGAGGGGGGAGCTTTTAATTAAAGTGGCTCTGAGAGCGGCTCTAATTAAAGCTCCCACAGTATCACGTGTATTCAGCGTCCCACAGATGTCTGGCACATGTATAGGTGCCCTGTATGCTTAGATAAGGGGTTTTCAACCTTTTAAAATAAGTGTACCCCTGGTGGCGGGATGTGGAGTGGTGGGGGGAGGGGCGGTGCATGGCCAGACGTGGAGTAGAGTCAGCCACCGCGTGTGAGCTTTCCCTCTCCCTTCCCCCCATGTCCGGCCGGCTGGGCGGTGCCTGTGCGGCCGACAGAGGGGCACTGCTACTCTTGCCCCACCCTGGCCCTACTCCTTGGAGGCGCTGGCACGGGGGCGTGGGTGGCGGCACTTGGTCCCCTGCCCACGTGTACCCCCTAAGGCCTTCCTGCGTACCCCTGGTTGACAACCCCTGGTTTAGATACTTAACTTCAAGTTTTAAGAAGTATATGGGATAGGAATCTGTTAGACTTACATCCATACCCAAGTAAAAACTCCTTGTTTGAGAGCAAGGTCAAGCTTGTATTTATAACTTAAATCTTTTCAACACAGAATTTTTTTGACTTCTCAAAATAAGCTGTTGCTTTAAGCAGTCATGTGAAGGCTGCTGCTGTTGAAATTTGCTAGAACATCAGGTGAAACTTCTCAGCATTGTCTTGTTTTTTGCATTCCTTTTTCCCTCAGGCCTTTCTCTTTTCTCTTCCCTTGTTTAGGGGAGGACTGCCCACTGTGGATGATTCCCATAAGTATTTGTACAAGTGACGACCCCACCTGTGCCAAAATGCAAGTGCTGATGGACAAGTCAGAGCTGACAGTGGTGTTGAAAGATGTTAAGCCAGACCAGTGGGTGAAGGTGAGTTTGCACAGAGGGGGCATATCCAAGGGACTTGGTTTCGGTCTCATTGAGATGTTCTATAGTGCTTTGAGGGCTGTTCAGTTTCTTTTCCTGCTACCTGTTGTGTTCTCATCTCACTTTGTGTTTGGTGATGTCTGTCTGCAACCGCCTTTTATTGGCAGTGCTCCATAACACTTGCTTAGTAAGGTCCAGTTCCTTTAAGAGTTGCCTTTTTAAGAATGGCCTGGGCAACATAGACTTTTACAGCATTTAGGAGCTGAAGCCCAGAACAGTTGAGTGATGCCATCAAACTGAGGCAGCTTTTGAATTGAAATGCGGTGGCTTTCTGTGTATTCCCATAGCAACCATAGCCTAGTCTATCCTGAGCAAAAATGGTCCTGTTTATCTTTTTGTTAGTCTGAATGCTTTGTTACTGGCTACCACCAGGCTACTACAAATCTGCAAATAAAAAAATCAGTGTTATTCATATGTACTGTTTAATCATCTTTTAGTTTTGAAGTATTATCTGCTGAGATTGCTGTCACATGAGCCCCTTAGGTTAAGAAATAATTGAGTTAGAGCTGCCCTCTAAGGAATGACTCTGAAATGACATTATGGGTTAGTCTTTCACAGATTCCATATCAGATGTATTTGTTTTCCATCTATCAGGCCATATATGTATCCTGGGATTAGAGAACAAAGCTAGGTTTTCCCTGTTGAGAGTTTTGTGTAGTCAAAGCAAGACTCGCCCCGGCAATATCTTTGATGGTCAGTGATGCCTGACGAGGAAAGAACCCAGCATAGTCCAAGGTGAATTTTCAGAGATGGCAGTTTGGAAACAGTTGTGAACTGATGCCAACCCTTTGCTATGTTTTGAGGCATCAGTGTATGTACATCAATGGAAACCTGTAGTACCGGCATAGACTTGCAAACTGGGGTAGGTTGCCCTGCAACAAACTGTTTGCTCTGGTGTCCTGAGATATGTCTGCATGTAAATTGTGTTGGGTTGAAGCAGGTTCTATTAATGTGCACTGACCTCTACTAGTCTACTTACTAGTATTAGTTTACTCATTTCATAGACGAGCTATCTTTATGCTACTTTTACTTTTATGGTGCTAGAATGGACAGACCCTGGAACTATTTAACATGGAGTCAGTGTGGCACATCTGGAACCCCAGTTTTTTATTTGTCTCTTTCCAGTATAGAGCTTCATTTTTAATTTCCTTAATCTCCTATCCTGTGTAATTCAGACATTTTTTTTGCTTCT